ATGAGAAAAGAGAACAAAGTGTAGCGGAAGCAAAGGGCAAAAGAAAGAGTGAGAGGGCGAGCATTGGGCGCAACCCATGGGAGGGGTGTTTAAATAGCATTTAACACAACACAACACAACACTCAAACACTGGCATGCTAAGAGATATGTGTTACGACAACGAGACCAGGCTTTGCCTCGTTGTCTCCTAGTGACCCATTCATCCAGCCATTGCAAATAAAGGGATCAGAAAATAGTAGCAGGAAGAAAGAGCCTATCAAAGAAAATGAGAACACAGGAGGCGCCCTTGTAGGCTCCCTCCTGCTTGTTGTTGTATGTGCCTGTGTAGCCCCGCCATCGTTACAGAAGCCAGCTTAAGGAAACCAAAGGGGGTTCTCACTTCCTCTCTGTCTCATTTATTTTGGATATGTTTGTCGTGTCTGTGAGAGCCAGACAGACCAAGAAACGCGTCTCCGTTCACCTCCTTGCAAAAGAAGGATACTTCCTACCGTCGCTATCGTTGTTCGTGTTTCGCAAATATCACACATAGCTGCAAGCACATAACACAGTAGCCCACCAATAGGCAAAGGCAAAAGAGAAGCGAGACAAGAATCTATCCTACATATCCATCGCCACCGTACATCTTTTTACTCATTAACGCATCTAGTTCCAACGAACAAATAAAACAAGTGCGGTTGCAGTGAGTGGTGCATAGACTAACAAAGCAAACGGGATGGATGCCATGCACAAGCGGCATAATAGACAGCGAAGAGGGCTTTTTTTTGCCTAACAGCAAAACATAAATGACACGACAAATTGTTACAAATGAAATAAGGTTCCAAGTGTACACAGACTACCTATGAAAAGAATGAGTTGTTAGGCTTAGCCGCTTGAGTGGCATGTCTGCCTGGCGCACAGATCAAAGTGAGATAAAAAGCGGGGTTGGAGCAGCTATGGTGCCTCAAGAAGAGACGAAGAGAGAGAGGGGGAGGGGGAGAGAGAGAGTGTGTGTGTGTGTGCCCCTTTCACCTTACTTTCGTCCCCTCTTTCCTTCATTACTTATTTTTTCTATTCTCCCTGGTCAGACGAGCAACCTCCTGAGTCTTTCTTCCCTCTCTCACCATTGGGGTACCTCTCTCTATTTCTCTCTCTCTCCATAGGCTGCTGATGCCGCGCACCAGGCTCTTCTACCTTTTGAGAGAGGGACTGGCGTTCAAAGAAGGGGGGTTGACACGAATTTTTGACCGAGGACATGAAGAAGGAAGAAGGCGCTGAAGGAAGACAAGATAAATGGTCCCAAAACTGACAAAAAGCACGGAGTGTTGTTACTGTAGTCGTCGTGTGGTTTTTGGCCTTTTTTTTTTTTTTTTTACTCAAGCGAAGCAGCAAGGGGGTTCAGAGAGAAGTGGACCTGCTTTTTCATTTTATGAGGACCTCGCTCACACCCTTGTCCACTTGCGATCGATGCCTGTCAGGCACGAGTGCCTGCCTTCATCCTCCCAATACCCATTTAACAACCCACGCGACACATAATGACAGAACCATACATTGGATGCTCCTCACGCGACCATCGAAACCGGTAACCGGACGTCGATCATGTCCTATCCTTGTCATTAGTTGTTCTTTGAAGTACTTTTTTTTATTTATTTATGTACATGTGTGAATAAATACATCGTTACGTTTTGGTTGTCTATTTCTTTCTTGTAGTCGTTGTCGTTTCGGGTTTGAAATGCCGTTTTTGGTTGAACTGCTTGGCTACATCCTGCTTCTCTCTTCCTTTAAAGAGCAACGAATCCCAAGACAGCAGCAGCCGTAGCAACCACCACCGAAACACCCCTTCCGCTAACACCGCCAACAGCGCCATTCTTGCCAGTTACAGGGGCAGCAGTAGGTGCCTTCCCATTCCACGTAACGCCGTTCAACTGTGCGACCGTAGGGAAGATGTCTCCCTTTTCATAATAGTCGACCGCGACAAAGTTGGGGATCTTGTTGAAGGTTTGCGTGCACTTGTTGGCGTGTGCGGCCAGGTCTGCTCCGTTGGTCTGGGCTGCTGCTCCTGATTGAGGGAGGTCAAAGGTTTTGCCGCCCAAAGTCACTGGTCCTGAGATAAAGTGGTTCATCACATACATCTATGAGAGGAAGGGAGATGATGAAAACGATATAAGTTTGTTTGTCCTTGCTTCGTAATGCCCAAAACATACTCACAAGACAAATTAATCCACAGGAGTGAACAAGGTAATAACTTACTCCTCGCTCCTCGCCCTTTGGACGGTCGATGGTGCATGGGTATTCCTGTCCCTTTGTAATGGCGTAAGGTGTCTCAAAGATAAAGTCGTACTCTGCCATCAACCTATTGTTTGAGGGAGAAAAATGTATAAGGCTGTCAGCAAAAGACCCACTGAAGGTTCAATTGGCTCGAGAGCAGAAAAACAAGCGATAATACACATACCATGGGACACTAGCATCGGCGCCGCCATCAATAAAGTTGAGGAATCTCTTCTTGCTAGAGATCATGCTGGCGAGAGTAGGCCATGGGGTTCCTGCAGTCTGGGTGTAGAGGTAGTCGTTCAATCCAGCGGCTTGATACACGGTCTAATTAATTACGATGATGAAGGGGAAAATTAATAATTGTTTGTTTGGTGTTTGGAGCTTGTTTGTGATGACCCATACAATCGATTGTTCTTTGTCGATCCAATGACTGTTGTTCATCCAGGCACGGAAACACACGAAACGAATGGGTAAGCAACCCCTGCAAGGCTGTTGTTTGTTATTGACGCTTGTTTGTTTTGCAGTGCATACCTGGAAGCGAGCAGGTGTGAGGTTGGCAGAGTTCTCCCAGAAGACTGAGATGACCTATTGTTGTAGATACAGAAGAGCACCCACAAAATCGATCGGATAATTTGATACATGATGGAACAAAAAAAAGGGAGAATGTCAATCGACCTGCATGAGAATGGAGAAATTACAATAAAATATGTCCTCCTAGTTATGCGAAGAAAGGAAGCACATTCATTACCTCGTTGGGGTTCTTATCCATGAACGTCTTGAACTGTCCAAGGACCTTGGAGAGCGGACCCGCATCGAGAAGGTCGCCTATTGATAGATTATAGTAGGGGAAAGTGACAATAGTGTATGTAAGAGGATGGTTAGCGCCCATTGCTATTTTTACAGGCCTTCAGGCTGTCTGCAAGTCGACAGACGAGGAAAGAAAGGGAGAAGACAAGTGCAAGAATAGGCAGTGCTGGGCTTTGATCTAGTGTAGTCTTCTCTCCTCTTGGTGATAGAAGGATGTGACAAGGAGGGAACAGTGCAAGCACACAGCCTTGACGCCACGCCTCTCTGTTGTTATCTCATTCCACTTTTGTTAGATCCCATCCGATTGTCACCACCTCTCACCAAATCCTCCTCACGCTTGAAAAAAACCAGTTGAGTATCCTTACATCCAGAATGACAAAGCTCAATGTCATTAGTTCCTCCAGAAGGCAAGTTATAAGCATCGAGCATAAAGGCCCGGATGCCGTCCTTAAGCTGCGTAGGGATATCATTGTTCTGGTTGGCGGCAAGGGCACCCGGTGGGGTATAGGCGTAGGCGTTGTGGGTTGTGGCGTAAGCGACTTGGTCATAAGTCTTTGCACAGAGCTCGGCGTATCCGTTGCAGAGTTGTTGCGCAGAGGTGCCCTGGAGGAGGAGGGTTGAGGCGACCAGAGTGATTGCTGAAGAGATGAATGTGAACCGCATTGCTGAATGGGGGGTAGGGTAATGTGTGTCTATGTGTGGGAAGGTGGAGGAATGAAGAAGAAGGGAGGCCGAGAGCGAAGAGAGAGAGTGTGTGTGTGCTGGAGGAAGGTGAAGACTGTGGAGAGGAGAAAAGAGAAGAACAAAAAGAAAAGGAAGAAGACGAAAAGGAAAAAAGAAACGTAAAGCAAAGTAAATAATAATAAATATCAAGCGGGCTGTGGTGCGGGTCGATTCGAATCTCGCCACTTTTGAGTCTTGACATCTTGCCCAAGGCAGGGTCAGTTCCAATTGTCCATAGGGTCCATCGGGTCATGCCTCGCCGCTTTTGTACGTACTTGACTTTTCTGGGTTACAAAAGGGTGCGCATACGGGACATGACATCGCATGACATGGCTGGCACGACAGGGTTCCCTTTATCGTTTTGTTCCCCGTTACGTTGAACAAGCAACAACAACAACATCACGCTTCATCTCATGATTGACAAGGAAAACAGAAAGAAAGGTTGAAATGAGGGATGGATCCACTCCTGGCGTATCATTCATTCACCAGCCATGTCACGATCATAGAGGAAGGCGACGAAGGGGAGGAAGGGGAGGAGGGAGGGGGCAATAGACCAGACACACCGCCGGTTCATGGGTCACTACCAATTGGTATTTTCGCAATCGCTTGCCTGGGCTAATGTTCTTCCGCCAATCCTGCTTGACCTTTGACCAGGGTTCAAGCAAATAACGAGGTGTTGTGTGGAGTGTGCCCAGGCACATTTATTTTACAAAACAAACAAAAATAGATTGAACTGTACGAAGAAGAGTATTTTTTTGCATTTCGCTAGACGACATGAGTTCACCCGATAGCTCATTGTTTCTCTTGAAAAGATGGTGGAACCGTGGAAGTATCTCTCTCCCCGTTTCTTGTTGTTAGCATGACTTCCTATCTTTACAGCTTGAAAGCGTAAAGAAACAATTGGTAATCGGGAGAGAACAGCAGTAATGAAGGACGACAAGGCGTCCTTAAAATAAATCGAATATGCATGATGGATGGACCCTGCGGATTCTTAGCCTAGCTGCTTTCTATCGCCTTGATCCAATCAGTTCCGTTGGTGCCTGAAAGTTTCATTTCGTCTGGGACCCCGCTCAAGGCCCAAGGTCCGATGCCATGTCTTTTGAGAAGAATAAAAAAAACAGAAAGGGGCCATCATAGCCGATGCATCATGCGTGTATGTTCTTGACCCAAACCAAACCAAAAAACAAAGTATCATTATGGGCGCCTTCAAAAAAAATAAGCCTTGCTCTCAGACGGGTTCGAACCGCCGATCTTCACTTAGTAAGAGTGACGCGCTAACCACTACGCTATGGGAGCCAATAGACTGACTGAAACCATTTAATTCTTTAGGATACAACATGTACGGCAATCAAGGAAATCGACGAAAGAGTCACGTGATTAAAAAGGAAGAAGCTGATTGGCTGCCCACGCGCGATGGCGCGTCTCTGATTACTTCGTGGTATTACGCCCAAGAGCATGTTGGATGAGTGGTCCATGGTCTTTCGGTCTCCCA